TTTCATTTAAATAAAGAAACAAAAATCTAGTATTTTTAATTCATAAATTATATTTTAGAAAAGAAATCAACCATTACATGTCTTCGCTCATTCACGTCTTGATACTTGGCAATCAATTCCAAACAAAGAATCTATTCCATCAACAACATTCCAAGTATATCTATTTAATATATGAAAAACAAAAATAATATCCCTTTTTTTTTTTTTTTGTATTTAATAAAAGCTCACTCATAAACCAGTTCATGTTCAAGCACATTCAAAAGTTAATACATGGAATAATAATATAATTTTAAAACGAAATAAAGTATCTCAAGAAAAACAACAATTAATTCATGTTGATACTCGATCAAAAATTGATACATGGCTTGAATCATCAACGAAAGTATATTATTTAAATCTTTTTGTTTTTTTCGTATTTAATTTATATTTTATCTTCTTTTTTTTAGAACACTTCTTTACATCGATCAAAATCATTATCAAAACGATCAATTGATCTATCACATATAAAACCAACTATAAATACTTGGAATGATCAATATAAAAAATCAAAAAATATCATTGAAGTAAAATAAAATTTCAATAAAAATAAAATTTTTTTTTTCAAAATTTTTATTTATAGATTTTACATCAACCAATTCATGTTGAAGCTCATTCAAAATTAGATACATTTCAATCACAAGAATTCTTATTTGAAAAAGAAAATCTCTCTCAAGAAACACATCAAATTCATATTGAAGCTAAATCAACAATTCATCCATGGAATAATTATCAAACAATAAAACGACATCGATCATTAAGTCCTATTCAAAATCTAGAAAAACAACAAACTATTTTTATTAATCCAAAATCAACTATTCAAACTTGGAATTTAAATGTAAATTAAATTATTTTGATTTATTTTTTCATATAAAAATTTTTTCTTTAGAAATCAATAAAAACAAAAGTAAAAGATATTGATTTACATCAACGAACAAATATTATTGGAAAATCAACAATAGATAATTGGAATAATATTTCAAAAAGAAAAATAAATAAACAAAATGAAGAAATAAATACACGACCAATACATATTGATTCACATTCACAAATTGATACATGGTTAGATGATATCAAACAACGAAATGTATTAACAACAAACATTAATGAAAAACCTTCGATGATTCATTTTGATCATGTTAAATCAACGATTGATAATTGGAATGAACATGTAAGGAAAAAAATTTTTTTTTTTTTGATTTTTAATTTATAATTTAAAGAAATTCTTTCTTTTTTTTTGTTCAAGATTGATTCATCGAGATCACTTTCATTGTCAACTGAAAAAAAGGTAATTATCTGTTTTATTTTACTAACATTATCTTATTCTTTTTGTCATCCACAATTTTTCAGAAACTATTCCAAACTTGGAAAGAGACTGTCTATTTAATAAGAAATAAAATCGTTTATAAGAAATTTTCATCATGCGATAGAGTCATGAAATTTACATCTTATTTCTCGAGGATTTGCATGACATCTTGATAAACATTAATATACTCCTATAACAAGTATTTACGAGGAAATTATGTCAAAATTTCTAAGTACTAGAGATTAACATGAGTACTTTCCTTCTTTATCACAGTCACTATCATGAACACGATGACTGTCAGTCATGAAAACTTTATTGATTGTATTAGTATGATCTGTTACAAAACAACTCTACTCATAGTATGCAAAAGTATATTGACTCATGTTTTCTGAAACCTAGAAGGTGGAATAAAAAATCTGTTAACTGAATTCATTATTCTTTATCGTAGATTATTTGAAATAAATAACACATCAGATTCTCGAAATTTCTCTGTGAGTAGACTCTATTAGAATTATGTGAAACAACAAAAGACGTGTTGTTAAAAATGAACGCTTGTAAATTGACAAAGAAAGGCCCGTAGAAATCATCCAAATCTAAAGTTAAATACTCATAAAAAGTTTTTTATAATCAGACTTAAGTCATAGTAAAGAATTTTTTTCGGTATCGTGCACTTATGAATATGATTCACAGTGTTTACGGCCGACTTCTATTAATGGCACAAGTTGAATTTATATTGTCTTGTATTTAGAACTTATTCTTTATTGATTCAAAATCATCGATTGATACTTGGCAAGACAATACTAAATCATATCAACGTTCAAAACGAAAATTACTTAAAGTAAATATTCTATATATATATATATATTTGAGAAAATTGAATGGAAATCTTTTTCTGATTTATTCAGATACCAGAACCATCAATAATTCGTGAAGAAACACTTTATATTTCTACTCCAACAAATGATATAAATAATGAACAAAAATCACAAATAAAAAGTCGAATACATGTATGCATTACATATTTCTTTTTAAAGTTTTAATTTAAATATTTTTCTATTTAAGTTTCAACCTGTTTCACATGTTGATTGTTGGAATTGGCCATATCGACCACGAGTATATTCAATTGAAAATTTTCTTTTTTTTTGCATATTATTCTTTTGACTTATCTATCAGAAACAACTTCATCCATTGAGAAAAACATCTCTTCAAAATGATTCTTATATGTTATCGAATTATGAAGTAAATATTTTTATTTAAGAATTTTAAAAAAAGAGTTTTGTCTAGTACTGCAATCTAACATGTTCTTTTAAATAAAAATAAAGTTACATATTTAGAATGAGCTTTTTTTTTTGAGTCTTGTTTGTTGAATATCTCTCGAAAACGTTCTGATTGGTCCAAGATCGATTTTTGAGAGAGAGAGAATTCTTAATTTAATTATTTTATTCATTTAGATTCTTCCACCAATTCAATCATCAATATCTGAACGTTTGGTAGAGTTTTTAATTCTACTAACATATTGATATGTTTTTTTTTCTATTTTAGTGATAATTTTACTTTCGTTTTTCTTTCCTTTCTAATGAGCCGTACACATTTTCCCTTTTCTTATCTTTCTCTTTTTCTTAAAATTAATTATCAATATTAAATTTTCTCTATATATATATTTTCCAGGTTGGTGGTAGTACTAAACCACAATGGAATTCGACAACATCTAAAACGAGTTCAGCTCAACATACAACACACAAACCAGCAAGTGGTACTACGAAGGTAATTAATTGCAAATTCTCTAGATAAATTTCTAAAGAAAAAAAAAAACAAAACGCATGTCGAATTCCTTTGTGAATTTGACTTATTAAATACATTTGAATATTCTAATTTTCATAGACTTCAAATCAAAAATCACAATTGAATGTTAAATCGAAAATAGGTTCATTGGATAATGCTCATCATAAACCAGGTGGTGTTAGTACAGCTAAAGTATGTGATTTTAGTTTTGTTCAAAGAAAAAGTTTTTATATTTTTCCTTTTTTGTTTTGTTTCCAAAGGGTGAAAATAAAAAATCTGATTCTAAAGAAAAATCTAAACCAAAAACTGACAGTAATGTTCATGAAATAATGACAACAGGTGGTGGAGGTAATGATGGTAATGAAGCTAGTGCAACAGTTAATGAAGAACATCAACAAACAGTTGATGAAACATCAAATGAAATAATGGAATCACAAAAGAATGATGACGGTGACAAATAAACCAAATGATTAATGAGAAACAATTGATACATTTCATTCTTTTTTTTTTTCTGTTTCTTTGCTTCTTATTATTTAATCTGCAATAGTCATTATTATATAATCATCGTCTGTGAGAATAATAAATAAAACAAAAACATAGAAAAAAAAAAACCAACAAATATCAATCAAAGTTTATTTCTTAAAATTTTACACATCGTTCTTGATCTCGCGCTTATGTGTGTGTTTTTTTCTTCTTCTTCTTCTTGCTTGCTCTTCTACTTATTATTATGCTTTAATAGAATTATATAAAATATTGTCTTGTTTTAATATACATAACAATGATGATGGAACAATTTTGATGTTCTTTTTAGAGCTAGGCTCGCTTTCTTTCATTTCGTTTTTCTTCTTTTTTTTTTGTATCTTGATCCATACATTTCTTTCTTTTTTTCTCTTTACGCGTGTTTGTTGGTTGTTTATTAGACAAAAAAAAAAAAAAAACAAAGAAAAAAAAACAAATTCATGCTTTTTTTGTTCGTGTTGTGTGGAAATAATTGCTCTAGGCAGAATGCGTGCATTATTTCATTTATTGTTCAACACACTCGCACATTCTCATTAATTAATCAATCAAGATCTCTTCTCTTTCGTTTTTTTTGCTCATTTTCTATATACACACATATATATATAAACACCTAAATAAAACAAAAAAAAAAAAAGAAATTTAAAAGCTTTATTCGTTGTATAATATATGGAATGATAATAGTTTATTGCTGAATTTGAATAAATGAACATGTGTTCTTATGTGTAGGTGCTCGCTGGGACCTTTTTGTTAACTGGAGTATAACTTGTCAATAGATTGTGACTCATTAGAGATAGAACGATTAACTTTTTGAGTTTTGACTTTGTTCATATGATTTTTCTTTTCATATACTATTGAAAGTTATGCTATTCAATAGAACATTAATCACTGTGTTTTATTGGATCGTTTTACGGAATATACAAAAAATGTTTTTTGTTTTTATTTCGTTAAAAGTTTATATCAGGCGGCCAATGTTCAAAAGAAATTAGCTTCAACCATTCTTAATGTTTGATCATTTTGAGAAGTCTCTAAGGATATTTGTAGAATTCAGTTTCATATATAATGTCTTGCATTAACTATTCATCTCCTGGTATTAATTCTGTAGAGTTAGTATTAAGTCAATGACCAGAATAGTTTATAGAAATGCTGATAACGACACTGATATGATTAAATTTCTGCGAAGTCATTCCACTGTGGACATGTAGAATGGGTCCATTAAATAACTCATTCATTTTGAATGACATAAGAATTGAATCTATTGTTAATTTGATTCGTAGTTATGTTGTTATTTTATCTCGATGTAGTTAAAAAAAAATATCTCATTTCAGAAAATGATATATGATTAGAAACTTGCAAGAATGGTTATCTTCGAATTGAAATTATGTCTTTCATTTGCTGGATCATATCGATATGGTTAGTCGACATTTTCTTTTTATAATATGGAATCATCCATTCTTATTATTAAGATCTCATTAAGAAAGAAGACCATTAAAAAAAAGCTGCAGGTTTCTATTTTTTTATCGATACGAAATTATTTTTGAATGTTCGTGGAATATTTTTTGACTGACCATTGGTTCTAATAAAGTTTTTAGCATGAGGATCGTATTATTTATGAATTTATATCTAAAACAAAATGACTCTAAAAAAACCATTTTTCATGTTTTTCTCTAAGGATGAATAAAAAAATGATTCGAGTTATTATGAAAAATGCTACTTTTACATTTGTAATCAAGAAATTTTAAAAAACTCTATGAATAAATCAAACATGACTCAACAGAGGATAAACATAGTTAATTATCTATTCTTCATGAATTCTGCTGAGCAATCAACTGTCTGAGATCTACAGATTTAAACATATAGGAAGTAAAAGAATGTTATCAAATTGGATCTTTATATGCTAATATCTTGCAGGAACGACTTTTCTCTATTTTCGTTTTCTGTTACCGTAAAAAATTGTTTGTCTTCGTGCTCGTAATGTTTTCAGAGTCCCTATGACGATTTCATTTTTTGTGTTTGAGAAAAAAAATGTCATTAACAGACACTAACTGCCGACAACGTCACATTTTGTGCAACATGTATTGGCATTTAATTAAAAATAAAATTATTATTATTAGAGGCACATTCTAGTAGAATAAGCCCATTATTATTTATACGCCGAAATTTATCAACGTTAAGAGAATTATTTCGTTCATCAATTGAATAAAGAAAAAAAAAATACTGGCACATCAACAATACCGATGAAAAAACGAAAACAATCAAGAAGAGAAGATTGTGTGAGATTATCTGAATAATAATCGTTTCAAAGATGATAATCACAATAGAAAGAAAATAGTTGTGATAATTGAATTATAATTTAAGAAATAATGAATGTGCCTGTTTAATTTTTGTTCATTGGTATTTATTATTTTTCTTTTAATTAATAAGCCAAACAAAAAAGTCATTGGAAGAATGTCGAAATATGTTTCTTAACAATAAAACATCAGATTGATTTCGATATTTTTTATATGAAACAGCAAAGTTCGGAGAGTATATACATAAAACAACACAATTTTCTGGAACGCCCATTTTTTAATATAATACACATTTTTGAAAGTCTTCAAGAAAATTTCCGTTCTCGATTACCACGGGAAATGGGACGGGAAAAATAATCGTTCCCATAGGATGCTAATATAAACACAGTAGACTTACTATAATTAATGTATTTTTTTTTCTTTACCTCTATAATGAACAACATTTATGAAAAATTTCTTGATATTAGTATTAAATAAATACACTTGACAACCTTTAGTTGGTTTATTGTCTTATTCAGTTTAGAAAAATATCATTATTAGTCAACGGAACTTGTCAAGTTATTTATGTAGGACTTAGTTGTTTTTTTTTGTAATATAAACCTATTGAGATGGTTGATCATGGCAAAAACTTCAATTGATTATCAACTTTTTATACGCTTGTTTTTCGTAGAAAAGGCTTATCAGTAATCCGGATTTGTTATAAAGAAATTACGAAATAACGAATACGATGACATAATTTCATCGTTCGTTTTTTGTTACATATAACCAGTTGTAATTTGTTATCGATGAATTTAAACTTAATCTTTCCGTGTTGAAATAAACAGGTACAATAGATATGTTCTAAAACTTTCGAATGATTCTGATTGCATTGCAAAATGATTTTGAATCTGTACAATGAATATATTTAATCAAGTTCGTCAATTTTTTCATTTAAAGTAAGTTGAATGAAAACTTTGTTTTTTCTATCTGAGTTACTTTCAATAGTTTTTACGCGACTAATATGACGTTCAATCGTTTAGCTTTCGTGACTTTATATATGTTAAATATTGTCACGTAAAATCAATCTTTAAAAACGAATGAAATTAACTTGTTTTTCGCGGATATTTAACCTTTTATTAAAAATAACGATTTTTCAAATCAAAAAAAAAAGCTATTCTGTTATGAAAGAGTACGCGCTTTTTTTTTAAATGACTCTTACGAGTAAGATAGAAAAAAAAATTTGATCCTCATCCATCTATATATAAAACATAGTTTTATTTGTATAATGCAAAAATAAAACGAAATTAATTTATCTTTTCCTTAATCGGATCATTACATATATATTCTTTACAAAAGTGATCAATTCAATTATATAATTGATTAAATAAAAGAAAACAAAAAAGAACAACAACAACAAATTGAATTCATCAATAAACTATTCAAAAATTTTTTGTTTATGTATCACCTTGAACGATAAAATATTCATTTTGAAACGAAAACATATTTTGACAGAATGATGTCGCTAATGATCACTATGTATTCTTTCACTGCCATCTATAGACTTAGCATCATTGGTGTTAACAAAAATATTATTTGTTTGTTCGTTTACATATATACATTGAATACCATTATTAACTGGAAAAAAAAAAGATGGAAAACGTTTATAAATTGTATATTATGACTTGTTGATTTCTTTAATGAAATATTTTATTTTTAGATTATTTAAATATTTCATATATTGAAAAAGTAAGATTTTCATATGATCTTGTTTTATTTTTTTGAACAAAAAAAAAAAAAAAGGGACATCATTTACAAAAGAGTAATTTCATTTTATTGTCTTTGTGTGTTTGAGGCTATTAATCACTTTTATACATAATTAAGAGAACGAAAGAATGAAGACGAAAAGGGATCAGCGTTATTTTTTTTTTCGTCTTTTGTTAATCAAAGAAAACAAAAACGCAACAGTTCGGATTTATATTTTATTCATTCTCGTTGTCGTTCGTTTATCCATTTGTATCTTTTTATTTTGGGTTTTTTTGTTTTTTATTCGACATATTTTCTGATAAAAACAGATCACTATCATAAGATTAATTGTAAGCTGTCCTTCGATCAACCATTCACAATAAGAAATACAATGATCTACATTTTTTTGTTTTCAAATAAAAATTGACATCCGAAATCAAGATATAAAAAAATATGTTCAATGTAAAATATTTCTTTCATTCATCTTCATATCGAATATTTCAAATTTTTTCATACTAAAAAAAAAAAAAGAATATCATGTGTAGGTAAGATTAAAATGTTTTTTTTTTTTTTCTTATTATAAAGAAACAAAAGATAATGAAAAGAGAATCTGATTATTTTTCTATTTTTGTATAATAGAGAATTATGGAATTGTTTTATTACTATTTTGATTTCCCTTCAACAAATACATGGACATGGTCGTATGGAAGATCCACCGGCTCGTAATGCTGCATGGCGTTATGGTAAACTACATTTTGAATATGTTTATTTAAAAATTTTATATTTTTTAGGTTTTGATGTTCCTGCTAATTATGATGATGTTGGATTGAATTGTGGTGGATTAGGTGTTCAAAAATCAAATGGTATATATATATATTTATACATTTGAAGTACATATTTTAAATACATCTATTCATATTTAGGAGGTAAATGTGGTGTTTGTGGTGATTCATATAATGGACCACGATATCATGAAATTGGCGGTAGATATGCAACAAATATAATTGTTCGACATTATTTATCAGGTGCATTAATTGATGTTAAAATTTTAGTAAGACATAAAAGACAAGAAGAATATAAATATAATTCAAATTTTTTCTATTGATAGTTATCAGCAAATCACAAAGGTTTTATGGAATTTCGTTTATGTTCAATATTAGATCCAAATATAGAAGTAACACAAGAATGTTTAGATCAAAATATACTATATATAGAAGGATTTGGTAAACAATATATTGTTAATGAAGGCATGGATTTAATTTTTTTACGGTAAATAATTCAAAAAAAGAAGAAAAAACATTATATTATATTAAATTTAATCTCTATAGTGTTCAATTACCTCATGGTTTATCTTGTTCTCGATGTGTATTACAATGGCGTTATCATGCTGGTAATAATTGGGGTAGAAATATTGAAACAGGTGAAGCATGTCTTGGTTGTGGTCAACAAGAAGAATTTTATAAGTAAAATATTTTCGTTTTTAATTTTGATTATTTATCTTTTCTTATTTAAATTTATTTTATAGTTGTGCAGATATTAGCATTGCTTCAATTAATAATAATTTATTATTATCACATTCAACAACAATTGCACCAAATTCAATTTTTTTATTTCCATTTATAAATCCGGTAGTTTTTTCTCCATCATCACCTATTATTATTTATCCAAAATCTATTGAATCGACAACAACAACAACATCGATGAGTTTTATTTTTCCATTTCATCCATCAAAAGAATTAATTGAACAATTAGATGAAAATAATAAAACTCTTCGTTGTTATGCAACAAATGAAGCACTTAAACCATTAATTGGTATCGAAAATTGGTGTTTACAATTATGTGCTATAAATTGTCCACCGACATTATGCATTTGTGTCAAAATTTAAAACTATTTATTGTATTACAAAAATAAAAAAAAAACTAAGAAAAAAAAAAGAAAGTTCACTGTTTTGTTTTTTTCTTTTCTTTTGTGTTTATCTTGATATTTACTGACAAAATGAAATGTATAATAGAAAAAAAAAAGAATATATATATATATATATACCTATATGTTGTCTCTTCTTGATTTCAGACAATAGAACTAAAATTTATATGGCTGATATTACTACTCTTCCTAATCAAAAAATGAGCAGACATAAATTGGTTAATCAAATAAATGTAAGCATCATTTATTGTTTTGTAAAAAAAAAAAAATTAAAATATTTTCTTGTCTATCAGACGGAAGAAAGACTTGAAACACGCGTTAATTATCGAAGTTTAATCAGTGACTTATACAGTGAGTTATTTTATTCGTTTGTTTGTTGTTTTTTTTTTTGTTGAAATGAATAATTTTTATTTTTATTTTTGTTTAATATGAATTAGGAACATTTGTTTTTCTTCAATTAAAAAATATCTATAACTTGAGATTCTGTGTTGTCAACTGAGCAATCGCTTTCTCACTAAAAGTTAATAGATTGTAGGTTATCGATCATGATGAACTCGAATATGATTATGAGAAATCCCTTTAAGTAAGGCTTCATATACCGGTTTTCCAGAGAAACAAACTTGCCACCTAAAATGTTTTTTTTCTTATCTGTTCAAATTATAGAGCATATCGAATTACCTTGAAACAATAATAACTTCTTCTGTTTCAAATCGTTTTGTTTGCAGAAGATATCATCATTTAAATTCATAGAACAGATACATGTGTAGTGGCGAACATAAGTTTATGGCAGTTATATTTTTCAGTGTTGTTCTCAATGGTAATATTTAAAACTATTTGGATGAAGGTGTTTCGGCTCTCTACATGATCTTCTTTCATCGAACTGTATGTAATATATAGAAGACCCTAAAGTATCAAACACGGTGGCATCATTGAAATTTTTTATACAAAACAAAAAGAAAAATGCTTCGTGGGTCTTCTATAAATTGGATGCCGTTCGATGAAGAAAAGTCATGGAGAGAGCCGAAGCATTTCATTTTACTCTATCAAATAAAGGCATTTCTAAGAAGCGTGAAATGTATGCCAGAAACCCGATTTTTGGGAGATTCTGATTTTCCATACATCTTTATCCAAGCAGTTTTAAATATTACCATCGAGAAGAAAACTCAAAAATACAACTGCTCAAAACTTTTGTCCGTCACTATATATCAACATTTCAATGTGTAAATCTTAACGATAAATGTTATGATCCAAAACGATTTAGACAAAAATTTTTGTTCATCCAGAAAACCAATCTATAAAAACCTATGGATAGTTCTTATGATTATAATCGGAATCAGCATAGTCAATAGCCTACAATCCACCAGCTTTCACCGAGACAGCAATAAATTAGTTGAAAATGTTCCTTCATGAATTGATGATATGTCACTGTAGAAACAAAATAAAAAAACGGTAGAAGAATGCTCTTGCAGATAGACTAACAACCCATTTTCTCATAGTAGAATCTATAACACACAGATACCAAATATTTTTCTTCTAGAGTGCATGAAAAAGTTAATTATTTAGAAGATTCCATTTAATATTATGTTTTCTATTTTGTGGATGATAATAATAATGATTTCTAAAATATAAATTATCATAGTATATTTTTTTTTTGCACGATGAAAAGAAGAATCAACTATGATACACTTTGATATGTGACAAGGGTATGCATGACAGACCTAATGACCTCTATTCACGCTTGTTCGATGACACACATGATATCTATGGCAAGCAGTGAACTGAACTTGACATGACAAAAAATTCATACTCATTATGTAATTATTACTAATAATGAAGTGTCATTTAAATTATTCAATAAACTTATCACTCGAATGCTTTTGCTAAAAATTTTGACAAAAAAAAAAATTTTTCTCAGTTTGCACTTAATATTTTTCTATTCTCTAATTATCATTCAATGATCTTAACTATTAAAATTTAAAAATAAATATTTTCTTTTATAATTTTCAGGTAATAAACCTGAATTAACTGAACCTACAAACAAACAATTATTCAATCAATTAAATACTTGCAATAAACTATTTGAAGATGGTAAAAAAAAAATATATTGAGATAAATTTCTATTGCACGTCATCGTTTTTTTTTATTCTAGTTCGAACACCACGTGAAGGTGTTCTTGACATAAGTATGTATTTCATATTTATCGTTTTATAAAACACAATCTAGAAGGAGTGTTGACGTATATAGAGTAAAAATCTCTACTTGTCACATACTGTGACATATGTTCTTGATATATGATCGAAGACCACGCGTATCAATAACATCTCGTTATCACTTCCTGATTACATTTCCGAAGGATCAAATAAAAGGATGGGTGAAGATGTATGTCTTAAAATAGATAGAATAAAACAATCTGTTTTTGATTAACAGAAGCAACTACATCATATTTCATATTTTAATCCTGTAGGGATTGGACTAATTTTATTATTATAAATTTTACATTTAGTTGCATTAAAAACTATATCATCATTTGCTCGTATTCAAACTATTGCTATAGATAAAAAATCTACAACTGAAAATGCTTTTAAATTAATGCGAAAATGTGTTTGTAGAAAAATTTCGATTTTATTTTTTTTATTTTTAAAGAAAATTTTTCTTTTCTTTTTTTGTTTTTAATTAGGCTAAAATTATTAAAAAAAATCTAACAGAAAGTGATGATGTATTTGCAGAATTTTATATTGATTTTTGTCATTATCATAAAACTATTGGCATGATGAATTTTATGTAAGAAAATATTTTATAAAATAAGAAATAAATTATTTGAATATTTATTTTATTAAAAATACAAAACAGGTCTGGACGTTTACCAACATTTTGGTTTGAAAAACGAATTTTAGAAAAATCATTGATGAAACAACGATCTCGTCGAACTAAAGATATCATTGATTCATCTCAACATACTCAAATAAAAGAAGTAAATGAAATCAGAAAACCTAAAACCTAGAAAATTAAAATATTTATTTAGATTAAAAAAATGTCATCGAATGGTGAACAAACATCAAAAGAAATTATTCGAATGAATCGATGTTTAGAAGAAGCATATGAAAATAATAATAGTTCGTTCTTTTATTTTATTTTTAAAAAATATTCTTTAGTTTTTTGTTTTTGTTTTTTTGTATTTAAGATCAACCAATTAGTTTTTTTATATTTACAATTCATCCAACAAAATTTTCTCGTTCAGTTGAAAATATATTTCATATATCATTTCTTATTAAAGTAAATCAAAATAATAATAATAATAATTTTGATTTTAGAAAATAAATTTTCTTTTATTTTTATAGGAAGGAAAAGTTGAATTATTTTTGGATAATAATGGTTTACCTGTTTTACGTAAGTTATTTAATTTAGAAAATAAGAAAACAATCGAACTTTATACAACAATACATTCATATTTATCATTTGAAATAATTAATGGATAAGATTTGTCCGTCCTCTATTGCATGTTCTTTTTTTCGAATACACTAAGATAGAATGAAATAATACACTCAGTCACATAGAAAAGGTAAGCATCAATCATAGATATTAGTGACGTAAACAGATAGTGAGGATAGAGCGAGCTCAGCCCTCCTAGAAGGCATTGAGAGTATCCGAAAGTAAAGGTGAGCGTTTACCTTCCTTAGTCATGTTACCCTCGATTGTTAAAATCCTTTTTATGTCAGTAGTCTCCACTCTCCCGTTTTCAAACATGCTCAGGTGATTAGTTTTCTTATTACATTACTAATAGATAATTGTTGATTTTAATCATCGAATGCAATTTAGTATGTCAATTATATATGCAAATTTGAAAAATATCAGTAGTTTAAGATTATAAAATATAAATCAACGTAATATTATACTAGTAGATTTGTGTAGGATGAAAATGATGTTGAATGAAATAATCAAAAACATTCTAAGAGGTCATAAAAACTCTTGAATATAATTATCAGACATAAGCAATATTACAACAGTTATTCATTTCTCGTATGAAACTGAATTTTTAGTCTGTAGAAATGTAACAAAAAAAAAGCTCTCTTTCTTTCATATAGATGGAAACATGAGACGATGTTTAATTCTTAATTGTATGTGATGATAGAGCAAGACGCGTAGGTATGAATAGAATCCAACTTATGTTAGATAAGAATAATAGAAAAAAATTATTTACATATGTCAGGCTTTCGAGTGAATCAAACCTTTTGAAATCAATGTCAATGCGATTGAAGAAAAATTTTTTACATAGTTTATTATGCTTAGCAATATAAAATGATAATAGAAAAGTAAATTTTTATAATGAAACTATTGAGAAAATCAAAAATAATAAATATTTGAATGAAATATTTTCTTTTAAAAAAAAATTTTGATCAGTATTTAAATTCTCGATTTTGTTAATTTGTTTTTTAGGTCCATTGAAGGAATCTAATAAACTAAATGATAGTAATATGAATATTAATCTTTCATCATCAAATACAAAATCACATCAAATTAATTCATTAACTCAATTAATTTTATCATTAGATATTGAACAATGGGAAACTTTAGTAGATGTATTTGATATACAAACATCAATGATTAATGATCAAAATTAATATTCTAGTCAATATCAAACATTTTCTTCTTTTTTTTTTTTTTTGTCTATTTTCTTATTGTTTTGTTCTCTATTTTATTTTCTTCTATGTCAGATATATATAACTTTTTCAAAATGATAATTAGTAATCATGAACAACACAAAAGATTTCTTTTTCTTTAGATAAACATGTCAGCTGGTATTTTACCAGATATGTATCGATATACGGCACGAAAAAGTACCGTATCAAAAAATCCCAAGCCATCAAATGTATCATTATGTAATAATTCAACAACACATTATTCAACATATCATAATGATAATAATACAAAACAACAACAAATATTTGATACAATTGAACATAATATTAAATTAGAAAAAGATGTTCCACAACAACAACAAGAACAACAAGAATCATTTATGATTTTACCTGACAATGAAATAGAACAAATGATTATTGAAGAAAATAATGAAAAAACACAAGAAGAAATAATATATGATATTGTTGAAGAGATTACAAATCAAACAATTCAAACACCTAATATATCAAATTTAAATCAGGTTAATTATTTTAATTATATATTAAAAAAACAATATATATTTTTTATTTTTATTTAATTTAGATAACAAAAACTTTTTTAATAGATACTCAGGATGTGCATGATGTTATTGATTCAATTATGAATCATATTATTGAGAATGATAATGAAGAATGTAATCATTATTATTATTATTATTATTATTTTTCGTTATCGATTTATTTTATTTTCTAGTTTTATCTACAAAAATAGATAATAAAATAGAAGAAAATGTAAATAATAATGTTCAAGAAATAACACCAATGGAAAGTGATCAACCAATATCAATTATTTCACGATCACAAATCGATGATGATCTTGTTGAATTTCAAGGTTTGTTAAAGATTATTATTTCTATGAAATTAACATTCTATAATATTTGAATATTGATGAAGATATTTTTAATTATGATATTTGAAATACTTTTTTTTTTCAAGTCTATTTAACATATTGAAATATATTTTTAACTTTGTTGTTCTTGCATATTTGTAATCAAAAGTTCATATGATATAATTTCATGTCATGAGATCAATAGACTGATTGATACAGATTTCTACTCAAAAACATAGAATGGTTTTAAAGATTCAATGTTTGTAATTGAAAGTGTCTAATCGCTTATCGTTTAAGATTATTGTTATTCGATCAGTCTTGATGCATAATGAAAAAGTTCATTTTGATCTGG